ACTGCCTGAAAAATGCCTGTGGGTGGAAGTTGGGTTATTGGATTGGAATAAATCATCAAATGTTTGCTTTAAGCCCACTAGTAAGTGGCAAAATCGTTTTTCTAAGCCCACCCGAGGGTGGCAAAATTTGCATTTTAAGCTCTACTGCGAGTAGCAAAACCATCTTTTTATCAAAAAACAAACATGAAATGTTTTGTTCCAATTCAGGCGACTCAGTCTATACTTGTATGCTGTGCGCATCACATAGTAATCTAGGCTAATAACCGGAATAAGAACATACAATGTTTTCAAAAATAGATATCATGGTTAGTAGAGGCCGGTCTCTGACCGGGCGAGTGAGGGTGCTCACGAAATGACCTTCCCTAATCGTACCCAAGTTCCCGAGCCGAGGCAACTTTGGTGATGACGGACACGTGGCCTTTTGGCACCGAGTCAGGGTTTCCTAAATTTCCCAAAATAAAATATTTAGGTGGCGACTCTGTATCTGGCAAAGCAGTCCATGTTTGGCACTTCTTTCATCTGTTTTTTTTTCTCAAAACGATTTGCCGGATTTGGACTCTTTGGTTCAGACTTAGAACCGTGACACAAATCGAGTCCGAGCTGTAGCGAGGTCCCCTGCAGGCTTGTCTACATGTACACATAAGTATACTAACAGATGATGTAGCATAATTTTAAAGGTTTTGGATATTTATAATTTGTATAATAAATAGAGTCATTAATGATATCATAACAGTAGTTGGTACACTATTGTGTACACTAATTAATGCATGTAGCACCACTGATAGAGAAATTATACAAATCACTTGTCCCTAGTATTGGACTATTCAATAACTTTAATTTTGCACAAGTATAGGCTACTTGAAAATTATTAAATAGTCGTGGATACATTATTGACACTATTTATGTAGTGATTTTGATGGGAAAAAAAAACCTAAGTTGGTTTTCTTTGATTTTTTGGTGAGTCAATATTGTTTGTTTCACCTCTAAATTCTTTTACTACATTATTAATTACAAGCATTACATAAACAATCATAACATTTTTTTTTTTATCGGCAAAAAAATCTTTATTGATGACAACATACAGAGTATGGAACAGTACATCAATAAAGAGGAGCTTGGAGCTAAAACGAAGCTCCAAGCGCCAGTTGGTGAGGAACCAACCAAAAGAGAACAAGAGAAGAAAAAAGGGGGAAAAAAGAAGAAACACCTAAATACTCAATAGAACAGAGCTGCAACTGCATCAATTAACTCAAATATTCTGCATCAACCTCCTCTGTACATTCCAGCCCAGCTGAATACATGCCAAGAACAACTGCATCAAACTCCCCTGTCTATCAACTGACTCAAAACAGAATTTAGGCATCAACCCAATCCATCCCAACTGAATGCATAGCAAACTACCAACTGAATCAAATCAGAAATCAGAATATCTACACAGCCAACTGTAGCCCAACTGAATGCAAAACTAAACATAGCCCCAGCCAACTGAACCCATCAACCACCAGCTGAAGACAGACTTCAGAATTCATAAACGCACACCAGCCCATAATTCAAAAGCAGCTTAGAAACAAAGCAGGCCAGGATTGAGGACATACCAGCAGAAGACAGCACAGTCCAGCTCAGACCAGAACATCATTTCAGCCACAAAACCCAGGACATCATCTCAGCCCCATAGACCAGAATCAAACTGCAAAGCTTCAGCGATTCAGCAATGAATTACACACAGAGACACACTTGATTCAGGTTATATATAACTTCTTGCACCGAATAGTTAAACCCCTTCAAAGATGAAGAAACCCACAAAGCAACTCTAGCCTTTATCAGGTCTTCCAAGGCATTCCAATCCGGTTGTACCTTATTAAATATACAATCATTTATACTTTTCCATACTGACCACATAACTGTTAGCGGTATTATTTTCCAAACTGCTTACAGCTTCTTCTTCATTTTTATACCTGACCACGACAGAAGTAATCCCTCTACTAATCCAGGAATAACCCACTTGTAATTCCACCAGTTCACTAAATTGGCCCACAATTTCCAAATGATTGGGCAGTGAAGGAAAACATGATTTACAGACTCCATCCCAAATCTGCAGAACACACAGAGAGCAGAGGCATTTGGACTCAACACTCCAATTCTTTGCAAAAATTCAGAGCATTTTATCCTACCTCTCCATACTAGCCAACTCAAGAATTGAACTTTGGGAGGGGCTAGATTGTTCCAAATGCACCTAGTGACTGTACAATCTACCCCTTGACTTGCTTCCATCCACTTCCAAGTTGATGCCACAGTGAACTCTTCAGACGGATGAGCTAACCAAGAGCACGAATCTACCACCCCTTCATTGAGGCTAAGTGCACTCTGCAGTAGATCATTGAGTTTTTGCACTTCCTCCTCTTCCCATGCTAAAAGAGGTCTTCTGAAAACCAGATTCCAGTCTGAATCTGCCACTCTTCGATGAAAAAAATCAACCAACTTTCCATCTTTATGAACTGATAGTGTGAATAATTTGGGAAAAGACACACTCAGATTTTGGTTATGGCACCACCTATCAGTCCAAAAATGCAGCCTTCTACCATTTCAAACAACTAACCTGAAATTTTGCAAGAAGAAATCACGCAGAGCAGTGTTAACTATAGCCACTGATATTATATCCTTCCACGTATGCGACAGCCACACTGAAGTAGTAAATAATGGGCACCATCCACCACCTAGACCTCCATACTTACTACAAATCACTTGTTTCCACAAAGCTGCCTCCTTCTTACCATACCTCCACCACCATTTAACTAGTAGCCACTCATTAACCTGGCTTAGATTTCTCACACCTAGCCCACCTTTAGTTTTACTTAGGCATATCTTGTAATGACCCCAAAACATGTGTCATATTTATCAGTAATTAATTATGTGTTTATGCGAATTAATTGAAGAATATCTGTTGAGATGAGAACTTTGGGACTGAAATTGATGACCGTAATGGGTTCAGAAAACGAAATTGAGCACGCCTATGTGATACCGGGAATTTTTAGAACCATTTGGGAAAATAAATTGAGAACTGAATTTCGTCTGAATCGCTAAGCCTTGTTTGGCTCACGTTTATGGCACAATTCTATATTCATGATATATAGATAAGGATAAGGACTATGTTGACCATGTATTGACTCAACAAAAGAGGAAAGAAAATATCTAAGAGAGAGAGAGAGAGGGAGTTCGTGAGAAAGGGAAGAAAAGGGGAAATCAAGCTTAAATCTTCCTCAATTAAAGAATCAAGGTAAGGATCTTATCTAAATTCTTGAAGTAAGGTTGATGCATTAATGATCTCATGTTAAATAAGAGGATTGAAAGGGGAAATATGTTTAATTTGAGCATGCATGGCATGAATAGATGATTTATGGTTATATTTGTCATATTTTGAGGAAGAACCTCCATGGATTTAAGAATGAAGCTTTTATGAACATGTTTTATGATTTTTCATCTTCAATCAAGGTTGGATTTTGTATATGATGCATTTGGGTTTGTTTAGAAGCTATAATGTTTAATTCAAGTTGTGTTTCAAGTGTTTTGAGACTTGGATTTCATAAATGTTGAAGTGGTTTTGCAAAAAGGAAAGATCCAAGCTTTGGAAGATTTCAGAATTTCGGATTTTGCATGGTCCGCTCGAACGGAGGGATTCTCGCTCGAGCGTGAAAATCGGCCTCCCAGCAGTTTTGGAAAATTGTGTAGTCCGCTCAAGCGGACAAAGTGGCGCTCGAGCGGGGGACTTATTTTAGGAAATTTTGAGAAGTTGAATTACATGATTTTCACATGTCATTTGCATCATTTAGCATCTCATAATCATGAAATAGAGTAAAGAAAATTGCATCATTTATCATCTTATAAACATGAAATTTCATAAGGAAAGGATAGAATGGCATGAATTAAGTGATTTAATGATAATGTGTATTGAAGAAATGTGTTATAATGTTGTTAATTGCAGGTCAGGAGGCGAAGACCGTGCAACCGGTTTTGGAAACCCACTGTGAGTAATATTTCTGTAAAGATATGTTAGTATGATCTATGTTTAAAAGTGCTATGTTATGCTATGGTTTTGAAATGATAAATGTTTTCTGTGAACGAATGTCTAGTTTGCGAATCTAGTATGGCATCCATAGATAGTCCTAAGTGGACCAGTTTACGAGATCTCGGTATGTGTTTAATCGGTGTCCGGGACCGGTTACTCTAGTCGTTGGACGACAAATGTTATGTTCTATGGAGTATGCCATTATGTATGTTCTGATATGAGATGATTATGTTTATGAATGATTTATTTTATGGATATATGAAATGTGAAATTCGTTCACTACTCCTTTACTTTAATGTTACTTGCTGAGCTTTAGCTCATTTTTTGTATATATGTATTTATAGGTGAGCACTCTGGGAGTCAAGCCTAGGCGGAGTCCGAGCCGAGCCACCGTTTTGAAGCCTACCCGGTGTTTTGGTGCCTTCGAGATGGGGCTACGCCTAGAAGGCCGTTAGGAAGCTTGGTTTTGTTTGTACATGTGGCGTGAGCCTATGTTTTGTACATGAATTTTGATTATATGTGATGTAATGTAGTGGGTAAATTAGCATTTTTGGCATGTAATGTATGTTCATATAAATGCACAGCTCTTTGGACTATTAGTGTTTTGTTTTCGCTTCCGCAAGCCCCGGTTATGTATGTTTTGTACAGAAAGGCCTGTGGTAATCTAGGATTACTGGCCGATTACGATGCCAATCTTCTCGGGGTGGGTTTGGGTCGTGACAGAATGGTATCAGAGCGCACGAGTTAATTTACTCACACACGTGTCCATATGAGCTGTAGGGTGTCCTAGAAAAGAAATAGGCATGGCATAAACATATGTGCATGTGTGCGTGTGTTTTTGCATATATAAAGAGACAAGAACTGTAAATGATGAGACAACAGAGGAACTATTATGTTGAGAATGAAATATTCTATCTGCTATGGGTACTAGAGACCAATGGAGAACACTAATGCAAGGAAGGTAGATGAGTCAGAATCTTCTAATGCCAGAATAGATCGGTTAGAAAGAATGGTGGAAGCTTTAACTGGGTTGGTGAGACAACAGCAAGAGCAAAACCAACAACAATAGAGACAACCATTTCCGCCTCCTCCACCACCACCTGTGCAAATGGAACCGATTAATAATGATGATGTTATCACCTTGACACAGAAATACAAGAAACTGAAACCACCAGAATTTGCAGGGGGAATTGAACCATTAAAAGCGGAGGCATGGGTATTAGAAACTGAAAAGATTTTTGAAGTGTTTCCGTGTACAGATGTCTATAAAGTTTTGTTAGCAACATTTACTCTGACAGAAGAAGCTCGAAGATGGTGGATGCTCGTACGAGGTGAGAATAGGGACTTAACATGGGATCGATTCAAAGAGACGTTTTATGAAAAATATTTTCCACAATGTATGCAAGATTGAAAGATATCTGAATTTGAACAGTTGAAGCAAGGCACTATGTCAGTAGCGGAATATGAGAGTAAATTTACTGAATTAGCACGTTATGCTCCTCATATGGTTGATACAGATTACAAGAAGGCAAGGAAGTTTGAGGGTGGATTGCATGTTGAGGTGCTTGACCGGGTGAATGTTTTGAAATTAGAAAAATATGTTGATGTACTTGATAGAGCCTTGATGGCTGAAACAAATATTATGGCTTTGAAGACATCTAAATTAACAACCATGACTGAAGCGGAAAGTAAGAAATTCAAGAAACAGAAAGTGGAAACAGTTAGTGAATCAGTGGCCTCCGTGAATGAAAATTTGAACTCAAGTTTTAGTGATAATACAACAAAGGGCAGTAGTGGAAGTGTAGGTAGACCTACTTGTAGGGAATGTGGAAAGCAACATTGGGGTATTTGTCGCCGTGGAACTGGCGTCTGTTTCAAATGTGGACAAAAAGGACATATAGCTAAAGCTTGTCCACAAGTTTACTCAAGAAATGAAAGACCCATTGCTAGTGGAGTTAACTCAACAATGACACCAAAGACAACCGTAACATCTACTCCTGAGGGGAATACATTGAGGCAAGGAAGGGTTTTCACCCTAGTTTTAGAAAAGACACAGAATACTGGAAAAGCGAATACAGGTATGATTTTTATTATCTACTGTGATGTTAGCACTGTTATCTATGCGATGGCTATGTTACTTATGCGATGGGAAATATTGAACATGTGACTGTGACGGAACAAATCATACGTAAATTAATCAATTGAAAGTGAACGACATGAAATAAATTGACTATGACTGTGATGAAACAAATTTACCTTTGCTATTCCCTTTGCTATGGATTGTTATATCGACGTTACTACCTCTGAATTGAACGCTATGGAACTTGTTAGCCGACTTCAGTATATGTAAAATGTGTTCATTATGTGTTTGACTGCTACGATACTGCCTTCATTGTTATGGAATAGACATACGAACTACCTTATCATGCTGAATAACTGAATAGAACCGTGGAGTTGTTTCTGACTGAGCTTGTGCCTGGATAAGCAAAGTTTGGAGGACCAAACTTCTTAACGTGGGGAGAGTGTAATGACGCCAAAACATGTGCCATATTTATCAGTAATTAATTATGTGTTTATGCGAATTAATTGAAGAATATCTGTTTGAATTAGAAGAATATCTGTTGAGATGAGAACTTTGGGACTGAAATTGATGACCGTAATGGGTTCAGAAAATGAAATTGAGCACGCCTATGTGATACCGGGAATTTGTAGAACCATTTGGGAAAATAAATTGAGGACTGAATTTCGTCTGAATCGCTAAGTCATGTTTGGCTCAAGATTATGGCACAATCGTATATAATGATATATGAATAAGGATAAGGACTATGTTGACCATGTATTGACTCAACAAAAGAGGAAAGAAAATATCTAAAGAGAGAGAGAGAGAGAGATTCGTGAGAAAGGAAGAAAAGGGAAATCAAGCTTAAATCTTCCTCAATTAAAGAATCAAGGTAAAATCTTATCTAAATTCTTGAAGTAAAGTTGATGCATTAATGATCTCATGTTAAATAAGAGGATTGAAAGGGGAAATATGTTTAATTTGAGCATGCATGGCAATGAATAGATGATTTATGGTTATATTTGTTCATATTTTGATGGAAGAACCTCCATGGATTTAAGAATGAAGCTTTATGAACATGTTTTATGATTTTTCATCTTCAATCAAGGTTGGATTTTGTATATGATGCATTTGGGTTTGTTTAGAAGCTATAATGTTTAATTCAAGTTGTGTGTTCAAGTGTTTGAGACTTGGATTTCATAAATGTTGAAGTGGTTTTGCAAAAAGGAAAGATCCAAGCTTTGGAAGATTTTCAGAATTTCGGATTTTGCATGGTCGCTCGACCGAGGATTCCCGCTCGAGTGTGAAATCGCCCTCCCAGCAGTTTTGGAAAATTGTGTAGTCCGCTCAGCGGACAAGTGGCGCTCGAGCGGGGGACTTATTTTAGAAAATTTTGAGAAGTTGAATTACATGATTTTCACATGTCATTTGCATCATTTAGCATCTCATAATCATGAAATAGAGTAAAGAAAGGATAGTATGGCATGAACACTTGCTTCTATGATAATGTGTTCTAATGTTAATAATTGCAGGTCAGGAGGCGAGACCGTGCAATCGGTTTTGGAAACCCACTGTGAGTAATATTTCTATAAAGATATGTTAGTATGATCTATGTTTAAAAGTGCTACGTTATGCTATGGCTTTGAAATGATAAATGTTTTCTGTGAACGAATGTCCAGTTTGCGAATCTTAGTATGGCATCCATAGATAGTCCTAAGTGGACCAGTTTACGAGATCTCGGTATGTGTTTAATCGGTGTCCGGGACCGGTTACTCTAGTCGTTGGACGACAAATGTTATGTTCTATGGAGTATGCCATTATGTATGTTCTGATATGAGATGATTATGTTTATGAATGATTTATTTTATGGATATATGAAATGTGGAATTCGTTCACTACTCCTTTACTTTAATGTTACTTGCTGAGCTTTAGCTCATTGTTTGTATATATGTATTTATAGGTGAGCACTCTGGGAGTCAAGCCTAGGCGGAGTCCGAGCCGAGCCGCCGTTTTGAAGCCTACCCGGTGTTTTGGTGCCTTCGAGATGGGGCTAGGCCTAGAAGGCCGTTAGGAAGCTTGGTTTTGGTTGTACACGTGGCATGAGCCTATGTTTTGTACATGAATTTTGATTATATGTGATGTAATGTAGTGGGTAAATTAGCATTTTTGGCATGTAATGTATGTTCATATAAATGCACAGCTCTTTGGACTATTAGTGTTTTGTTTTCGCTTCCGCAAGCCCTGGTTATGTATGTTTTGTACAGAAAGGCCTGTGGTAATCTAGGATTACTGGCCGGTTACGATGTCAATCTTCTCGGGGCGGGTTTGGGTCGTGACATATCTCATTCCAGTTAATTAGGTGCACTTTCTTCCTGATTTTGGACCCTACCCAAAGAAAGTTGGCTTGAATTCTGTGCAATGCTTTGCAATGCTCACTGGCAGCTAGAAGATTGATAGAAAATATACTGGCAAACTTGACAGGACGGACTTGATCAATGTTAATCTGCCAGCAAAAGATAAATACCTTCTCTTCCAAGAAGCTAGCTTGCTCTTAAACTTGTCTATCACAGGTTTCCAAGAAGCCTTTCTCCTTGGATTTGCACCTAATGGTAACCACAGATAACTCATTGGCAACTTTTGACTGAGACAATTTAGTTTGTTTGCAAAGACCTGGACAATATATCCTGCACACCTACCCCACAATCCTTACTTTTATGGAAGTTTATTTTTGTAACGCCCTTAAAAAAAATACATAAAACCCATCATTTTTGACATGCATAGACATAAGAGAAATAAACATCTTTCCATTTATCAGAGTGTTCATAACAAAAGTATTACATGTTGACAACAAAAGTAAACGCCCGTACGGGCTTACAACTTTCCAAGCCAACACTTGGTTACAAGAAGAGAGTACTAACTCAAATACACATTAAGCCCTTGGCTTGAATTTACATGTAATACATCAAAAGATAACAAAACAACAAAAGAGTCTTCAACTCCCAGAACTTTCCAAGCTATGTCCTTGGAGGTGGCATATCACCTGGACTTGAAAATGATGTCCCATATAGGGTGAGCCACATCCCAGTAGAGATATACTAAACTAACTATAAGCAATGACTAAAGTAATAGCATTTGATAGATGGTTAACACTTAAAAACCAATTTAAATCACAATACAGTTCCATGACAATTATGTCCATGATATAATCCATTTTCCTTTACCTATCATGTCATTTCATAATTATGGCTCAGAACCTGGCCAAACATTTCAAAGAGGCTAGAATTCATACTAGAATAATTCCATATCTTCACAAGTTATAAATGAAATTTCATCTCATATTCAAACACTTCCATATTCCAGATAATACACATATTCGCTGTATTAATACTTCCATTTAATACACATATTTGCTGTATTAACACTTCAATCCGATACACATGTTTGCTGTATCATTGGAGTCCATTCCTTATCTCCTCCCAAATAATATCCGGTTTAGGAGTCCATCCCCTATCTCCTCCTAAACCGTGGAGTACATCCCCTATCTCCTTCCACACAACACAATGCATATAAACGTTATCATATACATGTTCAATCAATACACAATTTTGATGTATTATTCCAACCGTCATATACAATGTGATTAGTTTTAGTTTTCCCTAATCAACATGCGATGTCTACAACAATCAAGACTATCCTCCACCGATAGCCCAAGGCAGTTATTTCTAAACAGATACTAAATGCATCAAACAGATATAATCTCAACATTTTCATAGATGAACGATAAATTAATCCAACTACACCATTCAATCCCATAATTCCCCAATTTCATGGATTTCAACTCAATTCCATATTTTCCCAAATTAATTATACTAATTAATTTATTTCAATAATTAGGGCATTTCCTCCAAACCTCAATATCAACCCTAAGGTTTGATTTCACCAATAATACAACATTAATTCCATTTTCTCAATGTCTCACAAACATATGGGTTTTAATATTTGAAAACCCCCTTCTTTATAAATTACAAAACAACCCCAACTTTCCTCAATATTACCCAATATCACCAATAAATCAAAATGACCAAAATTATAGACAAAACTCATAAAATGGAGTAGGTTATCCCTACCTCGAAATGAAGAGCTCAAATGGAGAAGATGACCCAAAACCCAAAGTGCTCCAAATCCACAAACTTTCAGATTAAAAGGAAGCCCTCAACACCCTCTATCTTTCTTACAAAGAGACTAGGCTAGGAACTCACTAAAAGTAGATGAAACCCTAAAGAGAAGGTGTGTAGAGAGAGAAGGAGCTCGGATCTAGGGTTTTCAAAACAAAAGAGATGAAAGAGTAAAGTGTTTACCCGCTGCTGTCTACTGATACAACACAGGCTCGCTCGAGCGAAGGAGTGGTCGCTCGAGTGACCAGACACAAAGAAACCTCGCTCGAGCGTAGGAAGCCTCGCTCTAGCCAACAATACGACGCTTTAGGCCTACAGCCCAGAAGCACGCTCAAGCGACAGAATGCTTGCTCGAGCGAAGAAACTCAAAACATACACCTTGCTCGCTCGAGCGAAGGAAATCTCGCTCGAGCCAAGAAACATAGCTCTCAGGTCAAAAATGAGACGCAGACGCACGCTCAAGCGCAAGACTTCTCGCTCGAGCCACCAGAAACAAAACTCAACTCTCGCTTGAGCGAAGGAAACCTGGCTTGAGCTAAGGATCTAAAACAATGAGCTCGCTCGAGCGACAACAGTCTCGCTCAAGCGAAGAACCAAAATTCTGGGCAGCAACCATTTGCTCCAAATCACACTAAACCTGTAACAATCCTGCCCAAAACATCCTATAACTCAAATACAAAGTATCGAAGGACGGAAACAAGATATATACCACAACCAACATCCACGGAACCATGTCCGGATTACACTAATCAATGGAGGGAAAACTGGGATCGCTATAACCTCCCCCCCTTAAAGAATTTTGTCCCCGAAATTAGATATGAGTTTCAAAAAATAAGTTTTCTCAATTCAAAATAGTATTACCATCCAACATTCCATATCTTGACCATTTCCGGTCATCCCATCTCTATTCAAGAGGCATTTCACAATATATAACTTCCAACGTGCGTTATCAACATGCATTCATTTGAAATTTACCAATTTCAACATATATTCCAAATTTCAATTACATAACCAATGCCAACAACATATTTGCATTTCTATAACATATTTAACATACATAATGTTAAAATAAACTTCCATTCTCAATGCATAACTCACAATATTTCCACAATATTTCCATACACCAAACATATACAATGTTTTACAACTCAAGACACATACAATGCTCTTAAAGTTCAGCAATACAATAAAATATATAACATATGCTCAAACATCCACAGATAGATCCGGATATTTCTCTCGGACCTCCAACTCACGTTCCCAAGTGGCTTCCTCCACTCTGTGATGTTTCCACAAGACTTTCACCAAAGGAATGGTCTTGCCTCGCAAGACTTGATCTCGTCTATCCAAGACCCGAACCGGTCTCTCCTCATATGAGGCATCCTCGTCAACCTCTAAGTCGGTCCAATCCAATACATGTCACGACCCCAAACCGCCCCTAGTAGTTTGGTGCCGTGATGGCCAGTAATTCGAGATTACCGAAGGCTAACTTTCAAAAGCATTTACTCAATCAGAATATAATAAAACGGGGCTCACAAATGCGGAAGCGATAATCTAAAATACAAGTGGTCCATAAGAGCAGTGCATAAGTCAAATGAAATGACATACATCTTTGCATAACTTTACAAATCGAATACAAGGAGGTAAAATACATATTATATCTTGATCAAAAGGCTTCTTGAGCTGACATATACAAAATGTAGTGAATACAAGCCAAGAAGCATGATTTTCAAGATTCGCCGACATAGGCAAAATGACATCGCCGACGTGAATACAAAACAAAGCCGACAAAATCATGGATCCAAAACAAGCTTTCAAAAACACAGTCTAGCCGTCGCCGATGTCCTGCTCATCACCTACATATATATAGAGAGAGTGAGCTTGGATACTCAGTGAATGGTACTAGAAATAAAGGTTTTGCATGAATATAGTCGAAGTCTTTCAAAACGAAACATGCCAAAAACCGTACGAATATTAGCCGAGATGCTTTCAGAGCAAAACACATCAAAACTTTATCAAAGCAAGAGGTGAACCGTATTCATCTATCAAGTCTTACAAGTCTCAAGGGATGCTTACTGGCATCGGCAAAACACAAATCAAGCTTTCTGAATCAACAAATCCACGCAGTAAACCGTCAGTGGCAAAACAAGGACTGCACGATCCGTAATCGATGAGTCAAGGGTACTGCGAAAGTTTATAGTCCTCCAGCACAAGGGACTTGTGTTACTTAAGCCCGTAGCTCCTTTTAACACGATGGCCTTGTGTTACTTAGGCCCGTAGCCTGCTTTAACACGTTAGTCTTGTGTTACTTAGGCCCGTAGCCCGCTTTAACACGATAGTCTTGTGTTACTTAGGCCCGTAGCCCGCTTTAACACGATAGTCTTTCCAAGTAAGGACCGTATCCTTTATTACTTAGTGCTGCGAAAGTTTAGAGTCCTCCAGCACAAGGGACTTTTCAAGAATGACATCAAAACAAGGCTTATACTTGATACATCAAAACAGAGCTATTCATTCATGC